GTCCTTCTGCTTCATGCAGTTCCTGGCGGAGGGGTTCGGGTCATTTGTGGAGTGTTTGTGAGGCGGGCAATGAACGTGGCAAAGGAGGCACAGTCTGGTTTGCCTGGCCACAGGAGTTAGGAAGGTGAGAGGCAGAACGCCCGGTCAAGCCAGAGAGCTGAAGTTTTTTTTTTTTTTTTTTTTTTTTTTTTTTTTTTTTTTAAAAAGAAAGCTGGAGGTTAGCAGGATGGGGGACAACCTTTATGGAGCTGTTTGTTTACACATGCCTCATTATTATTGTACTTCACCTCTTCTTTTTCATTCAGATCCGTACACGGTCAGCGTTGAGGTTTTTACAATTGGTTTTCCGACTTCAACGACGTTGCCGTCCTTTTACATAAATTCGTATCATGGTAGCACTGTACAATCTACAGTGTGGTCTGCAGGGTGTCCACGACGTATCGCGTTATGGACATCTTGCTAGTCACTTTTGACAATGACGTAACCTTTTATTAGGTCTTTTTGAGTTCCATGTACAGTTAGTTCGTGGCATACAGAATGATCTGCGGTTATGGTTTTCGAGTTGGGAACTACATTTCCTGTTCATAATTTCAGACTTCATAGTTTCTATAGTCAGCATCATTTGCGTGCAATGCCGTGCATCACTCTCGATGTTTCAAGTCTTGTGATGACATGTCAAATTGTGAATGTCTTCCTTGTTCACTTTTCCGTACTTCATTTCCCATAGGTCATGTCATGGTATTGTTGGTACACCCTCGTCATTATTTCTCAAGTCATGCTGTGATAGGTTCACCAGAAATTACGCCATTGTGGTCAGTGTGCATGAAACACAACCACAACGACAAATAGGAACTACAGAATCGTTGAACCCTAAACCCTAAACCCTGAAACATAGAATGTGAACCCTGAACACTAACTGCTTAACTGCCAACCCTCGACACTGAACCATAACCCCTAAACCATAAACCTTCAAAAACGGACCGCGAGACCTAACTCCTAAAGCCGTAACTCCTCAACAACAACCGTGAGCTGCAAACGCTGAACCCCAGCCTTGAACCCTAACTCTAAACCAACCCTACACCCAAAAGCCTCGACACTGAACCCTAAAACCTAAACCCTGAGCCCTGGCCTCCAAACTGCCTGGACCAGAACCCCAAAATCGTAGACCCTCAACACGGAAACCATGAACCATAACCCCTAAACCATAAACCCTCAAGCACTTCATGTGAACGCTGAACACTAAACCCTAACCGTGAACCCTGACTCCTCAGAGTCCTACCCCTAAACCCTGGACCATGAACCCCAAACCCTTACCCTGACAACAACAACCGTGAACTCCAAACCCTAAACTCTAGCCCTGAACGCTAACTCTGAAACAACCCTAAACCCAAAAGCCTCAACACTGAACCCTCAACCCTAAACCCTGAGCCCTTACCTCTTAACTGCTTGGACCCAAACCCGAAAATCGCAGACCCTCAACACTTAAACCCTGAACCATAACCCCTAAAACGCAAACCCTCAAGCACTTCATGTGAACGCTGAACACCAAACCCTAACCGTGAACCCTGACTCATGAGAGTCCTACCCCTAAACCGTGGACCATTAACCCCAAGGGCCCGAACTCTTACCCTGAACCCAGACCCTATGCCATAATTCTGAACCCTGAACACTAAATTGTAAACCCTGAACCCGCATGGAGGTCTAGGGCTTACAGCTGAGAGGTTTGGGTTCAAGGTTAGGGTTAGGGTTTAGGGTTTAGGGTTCAGGGCTTTACAGTTCCGGGTTTAGGGTTAGGCGCTACCAAGTAAGCCTGGTGAGAGTCCTCACTTTTTTGGGGGACTTGTATTTTTCTTGTCTGACTTCTTTTGGCCTTGCTGGTTCCCTTTTCGTCCTGTTGCCCTGTCTTTCGTCGCCTTCCCCATGCCCTCCAGCCTATTTTAATTTGTCTTTTCCCTGCCTTATGTGCTTGCACGTCGTCTGCTCTCGCGCCTCCCCCAATGCCCTCTTATTGTCTTTCTTCTA